ACACTAAAATAGAAACAGATAGAGAAAAATATGGAAGATACCTTGTATTCCAAAACCCATTGTGCTTGGCCCTTAAAACTTGGCAAAGCATGACTAGAATCTATTTAAAATAAACAAGTGCCAGATAGGTATTTTAAAAAACCTCCTTCCTATCAATAAAATGTGCACTCAAATATACAGTATATCACAGAAGTGAGTACACCTCCTCACATTTCATAAATGTTTTAGTACATCTTTTCATGAGACAACACTGAATAAATGACACTTGGCTACCATGTCAAGCAGTGAATATACAGCTTGCATAACAGTGTCAATATGCTGTCCTTTCAAAATAGCACAACACACAGCCATTAATGTCTAAACCTCAGGCAACAAAAGTGAGTACACCCCTAAGTGACAATGTCCAAATTGGGCACAAAGGGTCAAAATTTTGTGTGGCCACCATTATTTTCCAGCACTGCTGACTACATAGTTCTAACACACTGATGGAACAGTCCTGATGGGAGGGGACTGGGGGAGATGGTATCTGAGGTAGAGAAGGGAACAATTGGATGCTACTGAGTTGACTGACAGCAACCCCAGTCCTGAAAAGTCCCTCCCAGCCAAAATCTCTTAAAGGCATCATATAAGGGTGCATAAAGTCATAAATCATCATTTTCCTGTCAATTTTACTGAACTTTTAGATTTCCAGAAGCATCTGGCTATTGCAAGCCAGTATTTATTTGAACAGCAACAGAACTCTTTCTAGCAAGTGTTGCCTTTAACCAGCACACGGAAAAAGCAGCCAAGAAGAGCGATGCTAATCTTAAAAGACTGAGCTTTGTTGCATTAATCAATTTGTATTGATCTTCCTTTCCAAAAATACAGATCTTCTGAGTGGAAAGGGCTGCGCTTGGAAACCTTATTTGCTCTCGGAATGCCCTGTGGGAATCCGAAACCTATTTGATGGGGTCATCTGTTGATCAAAGGACTATTTCACCAGTGAAGGAGCTGAGCTGGAGAACAGTTAACAAAACCAACTCCGACTGTAAAGCTAAGCTGCAATTTTGGTGAAACCATGTCTCTGTGGAACACGGTTTCTTGATCTGCTTTAAGCATCAGATTCAGCTTGAGGAGGTGCAAGTGTGAAGGCTTCCAGACTCTTCCAGGACACACCATTCCACTGACCCAGCCCCGCTTCCCATTCCCACATGCCTAAAGTCAGCATTCTCTGACACTTAGGATATTCAGTCTGGTTGGTGGTATTTGGCAGTCATTAAACTCCCACCCACTCACACACACACACACACACACACACACACACACACAGAGAGAGAGAGAGAGAGAGAGAGAGAGAGAGAGAGAGAGAGAGAGTAAATGTGTATGATGAAAAACAAAGGACTTCAATCAGATTCTGTGATGTTATTTTCCTTTAAAAAATTTTTTCCCAACCAGCCAGAACGTTGCAAGAAATAGCTACCAGTCTGCTTAATTAAGCAGACATGGCTAATTTGTGGATTGCTCTTTAGCTGTATACAAGTTGTGACCTAAGGAAGTGTGTTCACTTGATTTTATCATCGCATTTTATCCTGTCCTTTGTTTAAGAAACCCGGAGTGATGTATATATAGTTATAAACTATTACCTGAAGGAGCATCTTATGTCTGTCTTCCTTCAATTTAAGCCATCATCCATCCTGCTTCCCTAGTGCCCCTCTGCAGATAGTAATACAAAAGAAGGTCATTATGAGTAGATGGCAGCAATTTCAGGAACATTTTAAGGTCTTTCAGATGTTGCTATACATTTATTTTGTAGTTTTAAGGTCTTTCAGATGTTGCTATACATTTATTTTGCTACCAGTTTTATATACTGCACGGTTTTCACTCCCTGCTGGTTTTGTCCTATTTTATTATTTACGTTTAAGAAACCCGGAGTGATGTATATATAGTTATAAACTATTACCTGAAGGAGCATCTTATGTCTGTCTTCCTTCAATTTAAGCCATCATCCATCCTGCTTCCCTAGTGCCCCTCTGCAGATAGTAATACAAAAGAAGGTCATTATGAGTAGATGGCAGCAATTTCAGGAACATTTTAAGGTCTTTCAGATGTTGCTATACATTTATTTTGTAGAAGGAGGAAGTCACAAAAGCAGCAAAACCAGGGAGCTGGACAGGGGACAGGTTGGATTTGTCTTCAGTGTGGAACGGATGGTCACTCTCGAATTGGCCTCCTCAGCCACACTAGACGCTGTTCCAAGTCCTCCATACAGAGCACGTTACCATAGTCTTTCGAGACTGAAGGATGGCTAACTATTATTTACTCTTTTATAAATACAACTTACTGCTTTGTGTTTTACGTTTTTAATTTATATTTGCATTGACCAGTGAACTTTAGTTATTGAATGTCTTAAACTGTATTAAACACACACAGAGAGAGAGAGAGACACAGAAACACACACACCCTTTTCCAAACTCCTGTTGTTGTAACAATGCTATGAGGTTGATTGGTGAAATTATAGCATTGTTACAACAACAGGAGTTTGGGAAGGCGACCCTTTTCCAAACTCCTGTTGTTGTAACAATGCTATGAAGTTGATTGGTGAAAACATAGCATTGTTACAACAGGAGTTTGGAAAGGTGGTGTGTGTGTCTGTGTGTCTGTCTGTCTCTCTCTCTCTATGTGTTTAATACAGTTTAAGCCATTCAAACTGGTTCAAGGTTGAACAGAGGCTCAGCAGAATCTGAACCCAGAACTCTCCTGAAACTCCTGTTGTTGTAACAATGCTATGAAGTTGATTGGTGAAAACATAGCATTGTTACAACAGGAGTTTGGAAAGGTGGTGTGTGTGTCTGTGTGTCTGTCTGTCTCTCTCTCTCTATGTGTTTAATACAGTTTAAGCCATTCAAACTGGTTCAAGGTTGAACAGAGGCTCAGCAGAATCTGAACCCAGAACTCTCCTGGATATACAGTACCTGATAAAGTAGGCTGTGGTCCATGAAGGCTTATATGCTAAATAAAACTTCTTTTAAAGTGCCAAAAAACTCTTTCCTATTTTTGCTGTAAGAGGCTAGTATAATTGTCCCTTGGGAAATCAACAAATTAGGGGAATGGATGTAAATGTGATTAAATTAGAAGTGACACCACCCACATATTTGGATTGCAAACACTCAGATATTTTGTTTAACTGCAGAATAAGGGTCAGATCACACATTAAGGCCAATGGTTCAATGCTGTCCTTCCAGCCACAGAAATCTTACCGTGCTACCTGCTGAGACATCAGATATGCAAACAAAGTTTTTTTCAGCTGACTAATTACAAAACAAAATCAAGCCAATTTGCCAAATGCCAACTAAGGCAACCTCCTGATAGAAATCACATCCATACATCACTACTGGAAAAACCATAGCTTTGACTATACGGACGTTTGTCGGCAAGGTGATGTCTCCGCTTTTTAAGATGCTGTCCAGGAATTATTATTTATTTATCTCCCTAGGTGAAAAAAAAAAACCACAGGGATTGGAACAGTTTAATGAAGTTGTTGAAAGACTGTGGGCTTTTGTTATTTGTGGACACATCTGCTCCTTAAAGTACAAACGACATCCTTCTCCCAATTTTTGGGGGGGTATGTGGGTGGGAATTAATACTCCTCAAAACACCCAGTCCTTGTATAAAATCTTCCGCCAAGGATTATTTCATTGCGGGATTTTGGACACCACGCCAAGCCATCACGTACCCGTGTTTCTTCTCTTTCAAACACACCTAACAGACAAGCACGTGTCCTCTAATAATGATGCACACAATAATTATATACTGTACACACACATGCTTCGAACGAGCACCAGAGGGATGACCTGGACCGAGTTACCGGCTATTAAAAATGAAATCTGGTTGTTAAAATACAGTATATTTATATATATTATTCGATACGGTGGTATTGAATATATATATATATTCAATATATATACACTACGGTGGTCGTGCTCGTTCGGACTTCGATGTCTGTGATGTGTGACTTTTGCGTTATTGAATTTTTATATCGAGAAGCCTCGTCCAGTCCTCTCTTCCCCGATGACATCGCTTTTAAAACGTGCCTTTAAAACTCCAAGGCGGTTTTTAGTGTCCATTTCCCACAAAAACCAATCCCTCTCGGCGATGAGGAAAAAGCCACGGCGGGGAGAGAGAGAGAGACTTCGCCCTCCCAACACCCCCTTTCCGTGACTCCTCGCTCGCTCGCTGGCCCACTCGAGGGCCCGGAGGGCAGCAAGACGTGGGGACGAAAGGCCCTGACCGTTGCCAGGACAACAGAAGCCCCCAGCTTGCCCTTGGCAGCAATCCTGTCAGGGTTGTTTTCTCCCATGATGCTCAGCGTCAGCCTCCTCGTCGTCGTCCTTCTCCCCTCCGGTGGTGTGTGTCCAGCAGCTTGACAGCCGCGCTTCCATCGCGCGTGCGCACTCCCTCCGGGCTCTTGCGTTTGGTGTTTTTTTTAAAACCACGGCAGGCGCCAGAGGAGGTGGAGGGAGGCGTGGCCGTTTCAATTTTTTAAAAAATAACCACGGCAGCCGGTGGGCGTGGCTTAGGGAAGGCCCGGGTGCCCGCCTTACCCAACCGGCGAAGAGGTTCCTGGCCTGGCCCCGCCCTCCTACTGCACGAGGCCCCCGGTTGGCCACACCCACTTCCTCCTCCCTCAGGGTCCTGCCGGCTGGAGCCACGGCCCCGCCCCCACCACCTTTCCCGGCCAAGTTATGTGAGGGAAACTGAGCGCCCCCGCGCGCGCGCCCCCCCTCTTCCCTCCAGTGACGGGAGGGGGGAAAGCGAAGCCGCGGGAGCGCGCTTTGCTTCTCCTCCCCCCCCCCTCACACGCTCTTTCCACCCCTCTCTTTCTCTTCACCCCCTTCAAGAAGTCGTGAACTGAGAGAAAGAGAGAGATCCTGAGGGGAGCCCGCGCTTTGGCCGGCTGGCCGCTGCCGAGACCCCGCGTTTGAATCCCCCCTCATGAAGGGCAGGTAAGAGAAAGAGAGAGGAAATGGCAGCCCCCCCCTTCAATGATCAAAAGCACTCCCCTCTCCTTGCAAGCGCTTGTCCTGAGGAGATTTACACTCTCTCTCTCTCCCTCTCTCAACAAAGCCCCCCCATCTTAATTCCCGCTTCTAACTTATTTTTACCCTTCCCCCCCACAAGCTTTGGAGGTTCGTGAAGGAGGAGGGGTTGTTCGAGAAGGGTCTCTAAGATTTGGGGGGTCCCTCCAACCCTTTCCCTCAGTCGCCCCTTATGAATCCCCCTCACACACCCCCGAGACGGACACCAACCCCCCCCCGCGCGGAGGCTTCGACACTTTTTTTTTATTAGAAAGCATCCCACGTGGAATCCAGACACTCGCGAGGAAGAGGATTGTGAAAAAAGAAAAAGAAACGTGTCCATTGTTTGTGAGGAACAGTTGAAAAACTCCGGCGGCTGTCAGCTGGCTGGGACGTCACTCATTCTTCCTATTTGTGGAAATGCGAGCCTGTGTCATGATGAGGAGGGGAAGAAGGCACATGGTGAAAGGCTACAATATTTTGCTTTTCTTCTTCCAAGCATGCCGGAGCAAACGGATGGGGCTGCTGCTTTGTAAGGCAATAGGTTTATCTTCTTCTTTAAAAATCATCCTCAGCAGAATCTCTCCAAAATCTCATTTCTTCTGGGTTGAGTGGGATCCACTTCTCTTGAGACATACTGATCAAGCAAAGTGCCTTCCCTTTGCTGGAGGGAGGGGGGTTTGCAATTAATTAAGGCCAAATAGGTATAAGCTTGCTTCCCATATTTCTTCTTTTCCTCCCCCTTTTTTTCTAATTAAAAATAGAAGTCCCAAGTCTCAGGGAACAAGACTTTCACCTCCCCTGCCCCTTAGCTGGCACCCACTTGCCTGCCTACAAGACAGGGAAGGATTCCACCTTAGGCACACATGCTCAGGCGGTGCCTGTTCTCTGAGGTCCTGGAGGGCAGCCGGATAAAATCCAGGGAAGGGTGGGTGAGATTACCCCCTTCTGGGTGGAAAGGGCACTGAGCTGTTCTCATCTTCCTTCACCCCAGGACATGATGCCTTATTTGGGACAAGGTGGGTGGATAGATGGGGGTAGCTCAGTGACTGACTGGCAGGGTTTAACCCCCTCCTGCTTCTCCGTCACCCCCTCCCCTCTCTCCTTCTCCTCCCTCTTCCCCCCCAACCCCTCCCTCTAACCTCCAAAAGGGGAATTTTCCAGCTGGTAATTTCTGCTGCGTCAACACCCAGCTCAAGGGAGTGGAGAGGAGACAAGGGGGCATTTTAACAGCAGCTCCACTACACAAAATAACAAGCCCTTCTACTCTGTTCTGATTATTATTATTTTTTTAAAAAGTCCTTTTAAAAAATAAGCATCTGTGCAAGTTGGACCAAGAGTTTGTCAAGAGAGAGTGGCTCAAAACCGCTTGGAAGAAAGGAATGAGGTAATAATGCTTGGTGAAGCATGTGTATTTCTCCTTCTCTTGCTTTCTCTTTCTTCCTCTTTAAAGCCAGGCCTGTTTTGGGTTATTGTCTCTCTCTAAAGCCAAGTGCAGATCACCTGGCCTTGCCTCCATTTTAATTACATATTGAAATATTGGAGTGACCCTTATTATTTAATCTTGGGCTTCTACAGAATGCTTCTTTCAAAAGATCTAGGGGCTACTTAATATGCTTGTTACAAGTTAAAGGACTGACTTGAAAATTTGGGGTACAAGTAAGAAAAATTAATAAAGGGTATGTTAGTACTTCAATCATATGGGTTTATGTTTATTCCTTAAAAAGCAAAATAGGTTGATGGTAGTAGTGGGGAAAGGTTTGCAAGTTGAAGACAGGCTTTTGTGTCCGTAAATAGGTATGTCAGTTTCACAAAAGTAATGCAAGTAGCTTCTGATAACTCAATCCTGAATGACAAAGAATGAAGCCAGTTTCCAAGGCTATAAGTGGAAGGATTCTTATATTTACTGTTCTGTGTACTATTAAAAATGAATAAAATGAGTAACTAAGTAATTCTGTAAAGCAATGTATTTTTAATATGCAACAAGAATATACAAAACAAAGGCCAATTTCATTCATAAAATGAGGTGGGTTTTTGCCCCCTGTATGTTCAGTTCAAGACTTTGCCTTGGATGACAGAGTCAAGATTATCAGCATTGTTTGAAGATATGCTAATAAGAGATTCAATGTTGTAAGCAGTGCTTTACCATCACCTGTACTTAAGTTCTAGTATGTATTTTAATTGCAATATTTTAATCTTTTCTCTTGTTTTATTGACTGTTCTAAATATGTCATTATACACTAGCATTTTTAGACTGTAACTTGTAAATCAACTCCATACTACTTATTGCTTTTATTGTAAAGATATTCTCCCAAAGGAGGAATAATTTGTTTTGGTAAAAAGAAATATGAAGCTTTGGCTTCTTACCAAGACATGCATAAAGTTGCAGTTTTACGCAAGCTTTTACCAGTCAGTGTAGTTGCTTTTTCTATGTGCACCAAAGTTTTGCTGCTCATTCTGTCATTTTAAATACTGTAGTGTTTCAAGTGCAAATGTAAAGACTCTAGCATTTGACAGCCTATTTGGATTTATTGATTGTCAATGTTGAATTAATAGCAGATGAATACAGTTCATGCTTGTTGAAAACTGAGTTTTCAGTTTTGAAATCCTTATGTGAGATGAGATATGGGTGCATCTAAAAATGGTCAGATACCAGTCTCCACATGTAATGAAAAATGATCACTCAGGAGAAATACAAGACTCAGGAGATAGGCTGGATTTTATAAAACAAAATCCAGGCCTCGATGTTCTAAGCTTGTATTGCTACTTCTTGAAAATAATGAGCAAATCTGACAGTGTAATCCTGTGTAATTGGAGCTGGGACTTACTCTCTGGTAAGCATGTATAGGATTGCATTTGAGAAACTAATTTTGATGGCCATTTAAATGGATGATTTTTTTCTTGTTGGTGGACTACATGTTTAAATATTGTTATAATTGAGTGACTTTACTTCAGACTATGCTGGGTCAATCCCGGAGTTTGATCCAATTATTTTACAATGGAGAATTCTATCTGGCCTCTTTAAAAGGTCACTATTTGCTATTTAGACAGACTCCATAACCATTTAATTAAATGAACGAGCCACAATATGTGGATCAGATCTTGGAGTTTCACAGAATAGAGGAAACAGGACATGTTGTCCCTATGGCTTGTATTTTCTAGGGCATCTGTACAATATAGTACTGTCTATATTCTTTATTCTCCATCTAATATATTTAAAAAAGGCCGGCTACTAAAGCACCATTGGTGTAGCTTTTGGTGAGTAAGATAGGTGACTAAATAAATATTAGTGTTGATACAAGCAGACATAATCTCGAAAGGCATTTCTTCCTTCCTCTCCTTCCTTTTGTTGCAGTATTTATCCTACTTTCAAAGTCTTGATTGATACAAGATTGGATAGGCTTGTGGGTTTTGTTTTTTTTTTTGGTAACATTTCAGCCTTCATAAAAATATTTGTACATAGTAGCACAAGTTTTTTGTAATATTTCAGCCTTCATAAAATATTTGTACATAATAGCACAAGTTTACATCTTGCAGGCAGTTTCATTTTTCAAATGTGTTCTATTTGTTTCATTCAGCGACCCACTCTTAAATATGACTTTCCTGCTTTATTTGTAGTGTAAAGTAATCCTCGTTGCTACATTCTGAATGTAATTGGGGGAAAAAGGATAAAGGGGGCTTAGTTAAAATCTTTGAAAGGCTCTCTGAAATTCAAATAGCTTTTATGCTCATAATTCTTGAACTCTGTTAATTTGTACATATGCCAAAAAATTCTTCACACTTTGCACAATGGAATTATTCCTATATTTGTTATACAGTATGCTGAAATGACTGTTGCCTCACCTTACAGCAGCATGTTTAACTAAGATTGGAATTAACATTCCAAAATCAGTAGGGCTGGACTATCTAAGATTTTCTCAGATGTAGCCCCTGCAAAATGAAAAGTTTAAAGCAGCAATACAGTGGTTAGTTGATGCCAACATGAAGATGAAATTGTTCCAAAATAATTTATAATTTTAGACCGACCTACCTCCATGGGGTCACAAAGAGTCACACAACTAAACACACACACACCTACCTAATGGATTTGGGCATTTAAATGAATGCAATTTATTTTCATTTCAGCAAAGCATTTGAGTTCATGATTTTTTTATGTGGGCTAAATTTTAGCCCACATTAAAAAACTTAAATTTTAATTTTTTTAATGTGGGCTATATTATAATCTTGTCAGTTGGATTAACAGCTTGTTTGAAAATCATATTCAAGGGATGCTTTTTGTGGTATCGTGTGACCTCAGACTTATTGGTGATCCTGTCAATGAGTGACTTCCAAAATGTTCTGTCCTCAGCAGCCTTGCTCAGCTCTGTGGCTTGCTTGCTGGAGACAATCAACCTCATGTTTAGTCGTCCTCTTTTCCTACTTCCTTCAACTTTTTCTAGCATAATTGTCTTTTCCAGCATATCTTGCTTCTCATGATGTGCCCAAAGTATGATAACCTCAGTTTTACAATTTTTGATTCTGGAGAAAGTTCAGGCTTGATTTGATAGGGGACCAACTTGTCCATCATTCTGGTGTCCAGGATATCCTTAGAGCTCTTCTCCAGCACTGTATTTCAAACTAATATTTTTTTTCCATATAAGCATTCTTAGCGCCCTTCCACATCTCCTGATTTCTTGACTCCAGTTTCTATTTGTATTGATGACTGAACCAAGATATAAAAATATTTAATAATTTCTTCCTTGTCAGCATTAAAGTTGTGTGGTTCTTCTGTAGTCATGGTGTTTATCTTCTTAGTGTCCTGGTTTTTCACTTCCTTCTTTCAGTTTCATTAGAAGTCATTTCAAATATTACTACTTTCTGTAGGTAAGATGGTATTATCTCTGTATTTTAATTATTGATGTTTCTTCCTTCATTATCTATTCCTCCTCCTTGTGAGTCTAGCCCAGCTTCACATGTGATATGTTTTGTGTATGGATTGAACAGATAGAGAAATAAAATACATCCTTATCAGACACCTTTGCCTAAAGAAAACCATTCTGTTTCTCCATATTCTGTCCTAACAGTAGCTTCTTCTCCACAGTATAAGTTACCATCAGGACAATCAGGTGCTGAAGCACACTCATTTCTTTTACTGAGTCTAGCCCAGCTTCACATGTGATATGTTTTGTGTATGGATTGAACAGATAGAGAAATAAAATACATCCTTATCAGACACCTTTGCCTAAAGAAAACCATTCTGTTTCTCCATATTCTGTCCTAACAGTAGCTTCTTCTCCACAGTATAAGTTACCATCAGGACAATCAAGTGCTGAAGCACACTCATTTCTTTTACAGTAGAACAATCCATAGTTTTTCATGATCTTCACAGTCAAAGACTTTGCTGTAATGAAGAAAACTGGCTGGATATCTCAGTCAGTTGTTGTTTCAACTGATATGCCACCCCATAGTGATAAAGTATTCTCTGGACAGTTTGCAACAACTTTGCTCCTCAGGAAGCAGAATTAGGTATCTAGCTGTAGAACCAGACGTTGGGGGCTCAATACCTCACTGCACACCCAGCCTGTATTGCCTTGGGCAAGCTGCACAGTCGTAGGATGCCCTCATAAAAAGGGAACGATAAACCCTTGGGCAAGCTGCACAGTCGTAGGATGCCTTCATAAAAAGGGAACGGTAAACTACTCTACCTAGAAAGCCCTGGAAAGGCCCTCAAAAGGGTTGCCATGTCAGAATTTACTTGACATACAGGTTTTTGGTGGTGTTGTTAAGCACAGTCAGAGCTCTAGTTCTTTGATGTGCTCCAATAGTGGATATTTGCAGCATATTCTTGAGTGCCTCTTTTCTTTCAGAATCCAGGTTGAACATCAGGCCTTTCTCATTCCATATAAATTAAAAGCATTTGTTATAACACCTTGAATGTCACTTTGCTTGCATGGGAAATTAGTTCAGTGATTCTGTAATTACTGCACTCCTTGGCATAACCTTACACTCGGCATTTCCAGTCTGTGGACTGCTGCTTTGTTTTACATATTTGTTGGCATACGTATTCTTGTTAGGATTTTGACAGATTTATTCTCTGTAGCTTGAAGTCATTGTCGATCTACGGAGGGATACATATCATTAAAGGGAGGTTTTGAGCTGAGTGGGTCAAGGCTGTGTTCTGGGCTGGGTACTTTTCAGTATTTTAGCAAAGCAAAAGCAAAGTGTGCTGCTTATATACTGCCCCATAGCACTACAAGCACACTCTGGGCGATTTACAAGTTAATTATGCAGGCTACACATTCCCCCCCCCCCAGCAAGCTGGGTACTCATTTTACTGACCTCGGAAGGATAGAAGGCTGAGTCAACCTTGAGCCGGCTACCTGGGATTGAACCCCAGAACGTGAGCAC